TGTACCAAACTGACTAAGAGTAGAATATTATCTCATGTGAGCTGTGATTGTTTAAAATTTTGAAGGAGAACTAAGTACTGCGGTAGAGCTCTCTCCTAGGTAGGACTGGAAATTACCTTCCCAGCTCTCCACTAAAGTCTCATATTTTTAGTTGGATATCTGACTTGGAGACTTACTGTGTTTCTCATGCATTAAACTCAGCTAATATTTTCTTATTATATGATAAATGGGTTTGAAGATTAAATGAAAGATAACCAACATTTTCTTTTAACAAAAACAAAAGGCATTTTCATCTTTAAAACTTGCCTAGCTACTATATACCAGCATGTTAGTGGCTTTCATAATATTTTATGAAAATTACCATGCAATTCATTAGGTATTCTTAAATTTTTGTGTCTTGTTAATCATTATCTTATTTTTTGGTTCTTCTATTTTGTGAGGTAAGTATCACTATCAAGGCTTTATATTTGATAACTCCAGACATAAAACAGCATAGAATTTTAAATTAAAAGGAAATTCTATTAACTTGAATTTTTCCCAGTTTTCCCTAGTAGGTATAGTCAAGATTGAAGTAGATTGCTTCTTATTATTTATTCTTTTTTAAAGAAAAATAGTAAAATAAAAGATATTGATTATGTAAGATAGTTATTTTTGAGTGGAATGTATTACATTTAAATTGCCCTTTTAGAATCTGTATTTTTTCTGTGTTTTTTTTCTTAATTAATGCTTGTGACTTTCTCAGAATTAACTAAAATCCAATGCCTTTTGAAGGCTTTTCTCTGATGTGCTGTACTCTATTAAGAATAATTTTCAGGGTGTATAGGAGATCTTGTCTCTGTTCTGCCCTGGACTGTCAGATTTACAGATTTTGAGAGCCAGAAAGACCTCTGCCATCATGAAGTTCATTACTCTCATTTCCTGAGGAAGAGGATGAAGGGAATGAGGCAGGGTTCTGGTCATGCAGCTGGTTGACCTTTGGGCCAGAATTATGACCCAGGGCAGTTTTCACTGTTCTCTGTTTTGAAGTTGCTGGATTGTTTTATGTTTGTGTGTGTTTTGATCTTTGTAGCTGGAAGATTTATTGCAGACCTAATGTTTTCTTCACACACAAATTCTCTCCCACAACTGTGTCCAAATGAGGCATACTGAAAGGCTCAAGAGCCAGCCTTTTGGGGGAAGATACCCATGACTGTCCTTTAATATAGTTGTACTTTAGAAATGTCTTCAACTTTTATTTTAAAAGCATATTTAAAAGCATAGGAAGCGTATTCTTGAATCCCATCTATTAGTAAAACTAGTTAGTATTACAAATAATTCAGCTTTTGTGTTTTCTTGGTTGTCCTGACACGAAGATAGATATAAATACCTCTTAATTAGATGAGTAGGTAAGATTTCATTTTCTGATTATTCAAAATCTTGTCACAGGGTGATAAGTAACAGAATATATATCTCAATATTAAAATGCTCTTCTAGGTTTTTTTAAAAATAGTTATGGAGTATAGGAGAACAGCTTACTTAAAACAGTGTTCTTCAAACTTAAACATCCATCATGATTAATTTATGCTTCCACTCACCAATACCAGCTGAAGTGGACCTCTGAATTTGGGAACTATGCATCTTATAAGTAAAGAGCTTTATAAGTGGTTCTGACACAGAGCCAAGGCTTACAAGAACAGTTGAGATGATGGAGGCCCCTTTTCAAGAGAAAGCTTGTGTATTGGAGAGGTGCACCACTTAGATGGGTATGTAAGTACCTTATGGAAAAGTGTAAACTGATGTTCCCCCTCACTGGAATTACCCCATTGCCTATGGCCATGCCTTTCCAGCTCACATTGTCCTTCAATTGCAGCTACAAATCTCAGTATATCTAGGATGGAAGTGATTAAACCAAGACTATGTCTTTGACTCTCAGTTCAGAAGTGACACAGCAAGCCTACAAGCTAATAGAAACCTGTTGTTAGAATTGACATTGTATCGTCCTAGAGAGTAGTGGTTGACTCTGCCACTGAAAGCTGTGGTAAGGTTGGTTCTGTGTTTGGATATTGTGGTTCTTGTCTTATAATTGACTATCATCATATCCCACTATCTGTTCAGTACATTTATTCAGTGATATAGGTAAATGCCCACCATCTATGAAGCTGCCATCGGAGCATTCTGCTAAACTAAGAAAATATTTTAAAAGTATTAATGAAATAATATACATGAAAAGAGTCAAGTGGTCACAGTGGTGCAGTTTATACAAGTATAGAATTGGCAAAAGCAATTTAAAGTTTTAGCTGGTCTCTTTCTGAGTCTTGCTTTGGGATTGGTGCTGTGGGTCACAGCAAAAGCCAGGATACCAACTTCTTAATCATTTAGTTTTCAAAGGAAGCAAAGTTGGATAGATTGATGATTGTGATGTAGTAGTAATTACATATATTTGAACAGATTTGAATATAATGGGACAAAATGATATTTTTCTTTTCCTTTTTTTGATTTAAGATTTGGAATCATGTAAGTGTACCATTTACTAGATAAATAAATTTTTTTAAGAAAAAAAAAAAAAACTTACAATAAACTATCTCCTAATAAAAATTTAGAGCAGTGAGATCTTCCCTTTCTCTCCAAGAGTGGCTTACATAATTGTAAATGCCTGTGTATATGGATGGACCCACATGGCATTTTCATTTATTCAGAGTAGAGTCGAGAGGGTCTATGTTTAGCACTCGAATATTGGACATGATTCAAGTATGAGTCAAGTGTGTCTAGAGGCTTTATTCATACCTATTTTCTTTTAGTCAGCAATGCTTCATAATGCCTTGGTTTCATGAATTAATTTTAATGGAATTAAACTTGAACAGCTCAAAATTATATAATTAATTTCATTCAGCTTCAATTAAAGTTACTAATTGAATCAAGCCTACTAGCATGACACCTGGCGGCTGGCAGCTACATAACAGTAGCAGCAAATGTGGAATCTACTGACAAGCTAGTTCATGTGTACTAGTGAATTTGCATAGAAATCTCTTTTATTGATAATCTCAGAAAGGGCTTGAGTTGACCATAGCAGTGGAAGATTTCTGGACTTGTTTAGAAAAGTAGAGATTTTAATTGAAACTAACATATCCCAAGAAGATTACATTTTCCTTATGATAATGCTGTGTAAATGTTACATAAATCTAGAATATGTTGGTTTAGCATGCTTTTTATTTATATTTTACTGCTATTTGAGTATGATTTTGATTTCTGAAAATATGCAGAATTGAGGCCCCTTTTTGAAATCTCAACCTCTGAATTGACTCCCGAGTTCTTTTCCATCTATTTTAATGTGTTAAAATGTGTTTTGTGGCAGAACTTTTCAGCAAAATTCCCATGGTACATGAGAAATTTTTGCATGTGCAGAAAATTTTCCTTCCACTGAAATTGTTAACACGGTTGACTAACAACTGTTCGAGTCTGTTTCCTTTCTTTTCTTCTATAGTTAGACATCATCCTGCTTCTCTTACTTTTCTAACTGCTTTACAATTGTGCAGACTGTTCTTAATACTCAACGTATTCACTCTTTTGGTGAGTTCATTAATTCAAAAGTCTTCAATCAATTTTCAGGAAGATGACTGTTTCTAGTTGTACCTTTTTTATTTTTTTCTGGCTTGCAAATTTAAATAGCCAGTACTGAGCTCATGCACTACACTGTACTCTCTATGAAAGAAGGCCTGGGCTGCATCTCACGATTTATTGTATCCCCATCACCTTGTCCAATTCCTAAACATCTACTGTGTCACACACACACATCGATTTATAATTAGTAAGTTATTCTCCTAGTCGGTAGGTTTTGCCATCAAATTCAGATTAAGAACTTGTTCATGTCCAGCCCTATATTGTTGGTTCGGCTCAGGAATCTGCTTTAATTTTCAATAAAACTTTCCAAGATAAAAAAAAATTGAGAGCCATTGTTGTGCAAAAATTTATTAATCTTCCTACTACATGGTATTGCTTAGGCATCTCCTAAATCTCCACTGGGTACTTTTACTTATTTATCTTGTTTTTAAATTAGGTCCAGATTTCTCACCTTGGCGTTAAATACCCACACTCTTTTTCTAATCACACCTCTAGTCGTCGTCTTTTTAAACCAGGGATCAAACCCATAGAGCCTTATTTCTAATGTCGCCCTGAAAGTACTTCACAGCCCAAAAAGTTGGAACCTTTGCCCAAGTGACTACCTTTGGAGTTTTCCCATGCTGTTCTTCCACATTTCTCCCATCTGGGCTTTTTGAAACCCTAATCTTTTAAAGACCATCCAACATGCACCTTTTTTTATAGTATCTTTCTTGATCTCTGAATCCTGATGAGTTTTTTTCCCTTCCTTTGAACCTCTTTAGTGCTCGGGGCCTTTCATAGCATGCATTTTACCTGGTGTTAGAGGTTGCTTTTGTTTGACTTACGTTCCCAACAAGACTACATTTCCTCACATATTGGCTTTCCCCCGAGATCTCATAAACCCCCATATAAATCTCTCATCCTCAACAGCCTTCTTCTCTGAGGATGCATTATACATTCTTTGACTTTTTTCCTAAATGTCTACAGAGAGAACTCTGTACTTGCTTTCTACCTCCTCACTACTCAGTCACTTCTCATTGAACTGCAGTCCGACTTTCATCTCCACCATTCATTGGACTCTCGTCTCCTTTGATGCTTTCTGTGACATAGCTGCCCCCTACCCATATAGACTCACTCACTTTCATCTTTGTGTAACCTTTCCTTGTTTCTTTATCATGGCAGATCGCTTGCTACGTTAAAATTACTTATTTACTATAATTCTAATGCATTGTTTACTGTGAATATCTCTTTCTCTAATGTACAACGTAAGTGTTTACTGAATAAATATTATTGAGGCAATGTGTCTCCTCCGGTTTCCTTAAATTGTGATAGATTGAGATACATTAAGAAAAACTGTAATATAGAGAATTAGAGAAAATCATGTAACATTCAACAATGATAAATATGTATTCTTTTTTATTCAGAAAAATGTAATAAAGACCAAACTGAGAAAGATACAACTCAACCTACCAATAGCCACTTCACATCTGGAGAGAGTCAAGATCAGTCGTTGTGGGAAAATCCTTCAGATGGTGAACTCATCAGAAGTAAGTATTTCAAAGACAAAATGTAGGTGATTAGGGAATGTACTATGATAACATGCTCAGTTAATACTCATATAACTACAGATCTACAAATTAAGAATTTACTTGAAAGTATTTTAAATTTCAGAGCTAAAACTGGCATATGAATAATTTGATCAGCTTCCATTATTTCTTTAAGAAAGGATGAATTGATTTGTATATTCTGGATTAGATTCTCAGAGAGATTTGTGTGAACTTCTTAGTTCTTTACTGAGCAACAACTCAGCAGGAATCAAACAACCTTAAGGAAATGTAGACAATGGAACTTTAGAAAAAGAAGAAAGAAGGCCAGGCATATAGCTGGGGCCATAAGTGCCTGCCTGGAAAGCACAAGGTCCTGAGTTTGATTCCTGGTACAAAAACAAACAAACAAAAAAAGTGAAAACAAACAGCGGGGAAAAAAAAAAAAAGAAACACTTTGGCTATTGGTGATGGTATTGTGGTGTCTAGTTTTGTAGCCAGTGAATTTCAGATCTTTTTATTTTTCAATTACTATTGAGCAGCATTTGTTTGTGTCTTCATTTTGATACTTTCTCACTTTCTGAGATTGCTCTGTAGAATAATACAGAAATGTCAGTATTTTGCTGCATTCTGACTGTGCCTTGAAATACCCGTGGCTTTTGAGTGCTGTTCAGAATGGTGATTCTGTGTGAGATTCTGCCTTCCATCCCCTACAGCGAGCCTGTGTCCTGGTTGATAAGTTCCCCTAGGTGTGTTAAGGTGAATTTGCGATATCGCTATTTTATATATCAAATATTTAAATGCACAGAGCAACACTATAGAGTTCTTTTGAAATTTCTCTTAAAGGTAACTGAATTACCATGTCTCATTCTCAGTTTTGCAAAGTAGGTAGTGAAGAATTCATTTCTAGCAATCAAGTTTTATTTTATTTATTTAAATTCAATTGATCCATTCAGACAATTTCATTTATATAGGCTATTTTTTGTGAGTGTGTATGTGTGTGTGTTACATTTTGCAATGTTTAGAAAGTTGTAATATTCCTTACTTTTAGAATACTACTGTCTGGCCCAAAATAAAAATCAAACAAAGTAAGGTGGGGAAAAAGAGAGGGATGCGGAGAAATACAAACAGTAACAGTATTCATAGAATACAAACAGTAACAGTAAAAACACTAAGAAGGGAATTTCCAGTTTTTAAACAAAAGCTCTAAAAATGAGTGTGTTTTAGTTTAATTTTAGAATTGTTTTTACTTTGATACACTTTTTTCTTGGGAAAGCAAATGGAAAGGAAGGAAATGAAACTCAGAAACTTTTGAGGAGTAAGATTTATGTAGCTTTTATTGCTGAATCCTGAAGAATTAAATAAAGGTGATTTCACATATATCTTTACATCTTTGTCTCAAAACATAAATTGATCATTTATTATCTATATATCAACTCTGCTATTGTGAAATTTAAGGTTTTTTGAGATTCTGGCATATGTTGTTGGTGATTTATTAGAAGTAGTGGGTACTAGAAAAATTTTGCAAGGCATTTTTAATTACATCTGTTGAAAAGTAGGAATTGTGTCTCTTACTCTCAACATAATGTGATGTGTTTTATTTAACTGATTTATTTTGCTGAACTCCTTTACCCAGGCCTACTCTAGCATAGTATCAGTAAAATCTCAGGATAAAAATAAAACACAGACACTTGTTACATAAGTATATGAAAAATCATGTTTGTTTACTAAATTTGTTTGTGCTACTTGGTGAAACTCAATTCAGTAACAGATTCCATACTGTTTAAGAGAATGGATTTAAAGCAAATTTCTCTCTGTCTCTGTATCTGTCTCCCTCTCTCTCTCCCTCCTTCTCTCTCCACCCTGTCCATACTGGTTAAATAAATAGTGATAAAAAATGTTGCTAGAAATAGTTTCTTTGTTGAGAAAATGATGCAATCTGTGCCATGGGACACTGGAGCATTCGGGAGCACATTGAGTTTCCTACCAGTAGCACAGAAGGCAGAGATAGAAAGATGATTGCTCCATCTGAGAGGCTGTGAGGAATATTAACAGATGAATGGTATACAAATAATGGCCAAAGTAAGTGGTGCCTCTCCAGCTAGAAACAGTAAGCATTTCTAGATGTTTATAAGTCATATCTGACTGTGCATTCAGATTACAATTTTCAGAAACTCCTTTTTCTGTTATTTTCCAAGCCACAATTTTCTAGGCACTTTTTTGGATTTAGAGAGGTAAAATTGATATCTGGAATTGCAGAAGTGGAACATTTTATATCATCTTCAAACTTAACTCGATTCTGGATAGCATTTGAAACAGCTATTACAGTAGACACTGGATTCTTTGTGGCAAGGACTTTCCCTCTGGTCTTCCGCACAGACTCTGGCCATCTCCTGTAATTCAATCTGTATGTCTCTCAATGCTGAGTTTAGGGGAGATAAGTGTCTGCACCTTACTTCAACGTGTAGCTCCTATCTGAAGCCCAGTAAATCTTCAGTAATAACAATGGGCCTTGAAAGGAAGCCTCTGGCCCAGGGCGCGTGGGGGAGGGAGAGAACATCTGTGGTGAGTCAGGTCTGGCGTGGCTCCTGTTCCAGGAGTCCTGTGTGGCTCCCTGAGCACCATGGAAGAGGCGGACAGCTGGCTCTCACGGAATTGATGTCAGTTTCCCTGGTTGGCTGGATAGAGGGATCATCAGAAAAATGAGACCGGCTGGGGTGTGGGAACATATTCAAATGTACAACCCACTCTTTTTTCCAAGCTTCCATGGGACAGTTCAGCTGCATAAGCAGGCAGTGAAGAAGAGGAACTCTGTTGAATATGAGTTTTTCTTTATTCTTAAAAGTGGTTACGGAGGGCTGGCAGCTCACGCCTCTGTTGTCCTGGATTCCTGCTGCCTTCTTTGTGGGACATTTAAGGCATAATTTAGAGAGGACTGTTAGCTGTCAGTGTGATGAGGCTGTTTTTGCTTTTTGTTGCTGAGAATAACCGAGCTCTGGAAAGTCAAGGGAGTGGCTGCTTTGGAAATTGCATTCTAATTAAAGGGTGTATTCTCAGGCTTCATAAACGAGATCCAGGATGAGAATAATTTCCAAATTATTATGTGAACTTTAACCCTGACCTCAGTGGACCACCCTCTTGTGGTTCATACTGAATTCATGCTTCACACTGAAGTTTGTGCTTTGTGTGTCTTCCCTATTCATTTTAGAAAATATTGTAGGCAGCAGACCTGGGATACTGGAGTCTTTGGGGGCTTGGATTTCAAATTGGTTGCCTCTGAGTTACTAACTTATTAGAGAAATTTTTTTCTAGAAATAATAAATAAAAGAGAAGAAATCCATATGGAATCAAACATTTCAACTAAATAGGCCACACACAATCTGCTCAAAGAATGTGCACTGTGACTCTCTCTTAGCAGTTTTAAATTTATGAAAAGACAATTCAACCACTTAAGTTTGTTAAAAAATTAAATAAAATTAGTAAAGAAGTAGAACCCAAAAGATGTTTTGTGAAGAAATTTTATCATTCTAAAGTTTCTTTTTTTGTTTTGTGATTTTTTTATCCTTTCAAGATTTACAAAGCTTTCATATTATGAAAAAATATTTTGGCACATAATTTAATTTTTGGAATGGATATTAAATTTTCAAGTTATAAAACTTCTTTTTATGAGGGTACTAGGGCCGTGACTTTTTGCTTCAGATTATCAGATACGGTACTGTATAGAACTTGAAATTTTTACTTGTATTAGTGATCACCTTGCCTGTGACTTGGTAACATAAATGTTGCAGTGAAATGAAACTCTCAATTAATGTTAATTTCTCTACTTAACCCGCAATATGCATGTACTGATAATAGGTGATAGACAACATGATGTGTTTTAATTAGACTAAAAAACAGAAATAACATTTTGATTTCAGTCTTGGGGGGATTTTTAAGGTAGAAGGAAGTATGTGTGTATGCAAACTGTGTTCTTTAGCTTATGATTAAACATATGTAATATTTTGCTTTAATTTAGGTCAAATTTCACTCTTCTAATTATTGTCTATAAAGAGCTTACATTTTTCTTTGTTCCTCTTTATAAAATGCCTCAGGACTCTATCTCTGATTTTTCTAGAGAAAAATTTTATTACTTAACTTTATTCTTGGACATTGCTTTTACATAATGTCTCCTAATTCTAAATGTCATTACTTAACTCCAGAAATTTTCCTTAGCTTCTCTTCTGAAATAAATTTCCCATTAAATTAGACTATTTTGTTCAGTTAATTCTCTCCTTTGTGATTTTATAGAATTCCCATGATCTGAAGCAAAGTTAGAATGCTCTACTTAAATGGTAATCCCCATTCTATTTAACCCATTTATTCATTTTGAAGAGTTTTTAGCTCTCATAATAGTAAGCACTTAATTGGCAGCAGAAAGCAAGCAGTTCTCTAATTCACACTTGTCCCTCTTACGGAGCCGCCGTATCATGCCTTCTCACTCATCCTGCTACTTGAAATATTCCTCTTGGCATCATCTGAATTTTTATCACCATCAACAGGCTGCTATTAGAAACTCTTATTATTTCTTTTCTTAGCCTTTGCCAACTTTCCACTGATCACTGTTTAATGAATACCATTTTATCACTTCAAGGGATGCTGCCTTTATGCAAAACAGTGAAAGAAAAGCAGGTACTCAGGTGTGGTGTTTGTGTACTTAGAGCATTTCTCACCTTGATGATAAGGAAGGAGGCTTAAATTTAAATTTCTCCCGCAACACTCTTGTTTTGAATGTACATTTCAACAAGTATTATTTGGTTTTCCTTAGAATTCACTTTATATAAAAGAACCATAAAGAAGCCCCAAATAAGTACCCTTTAGTGAAGACTGATATGTGTAGGTTTTGGGTTCTGGTTCTTAGAAAATCTAGCAGATTATTATTTTTTTTTTTCTAATACTTTGTGATCATTTGATCTTTTAGAGGAGTATTAAGAACAAGCTCTTTTTCTCACTTCTTTTTATCTTTT